TCTTCTGCGGACGTCGAAGCCCTCGCTCCTCTCTGCGAAGACTGAAACCCTTGCTCGCCTCTCTCAGCCTCTGCTTCCGATTTTGCCTTAAACCATTGCCGTTCCAACTGAATTTTCAGCGAATCATGATCGTCGTTAGCAAGGGGGCGGTGACCAATTCTTAACAAGCACAGAACCAAGGTGTCCTTTTATTTCCTCTTGATCGAAAAAGCTCTCCTAAAGGTATATTTTCTCCCAAAACAAATCTCTGTATGATTTTCTTTTACTTATGAAAGTATGCTAGTGTTTGATACTTCTAAAATAAAACAAAATGTGCATGTAGGAGATGCTTGTATGAAATATGATAGATTCCACTTGATTTTTGCTATTTTATTTCGATATTTGTGTGGGATGGGTCTTGATAGATTCATTTGGACATTCATGCAAAATTTTCTTGACGAATTCCTCTGTCCAAGCTGATGTAGTGTAAATCGTAACAAATCATATATGGGTTTGCCAATGGTAATCAAAATTTCACATCCATGCATTTGCCTTGTAGTTGCATGCCATAAATGCTTGTAATAAAAGTGATGAATCTCTTTGGTTATATATATTCGGCTTGTTAGATTATTGCAAGATTACATGAATTGTGGTCTTGATATTGTGTTTCCACTTGCATACATATGTATCATCCAGTTCTCATGAATTTACATATCTTACACTTGAACTTCATTTTTGCATTTATACAACACAATATTCCATCTGTTTTGGAGTCATCACGAGCGTTGATTTGGGGCTTAACATATGCCGTTTGGAGTTGTTTTATGTGTTGTCTTTGAACTTCTATGTCTTTGAGCTTCTAAAATGTAGTTTGAAGTTTTTAAAAGGGGCTGATTTGAGAGCTGTTTTGAAAGTGTTGTCTTGGAGTGTTGTCTTGGGTTTATATAGGCGTTGTTTGAAGATTTTAGAAGTGTTGATTTGGAGTGTTTTAGAGTGTTATTTGAGTGCTGAAATTGTAGTTTGGGCTGTTGTAGGTAGCTTACAAGTGCTGCGAACTACTGATTGGATGTGTTAAAAATGCTATGAAAGCTTTTGGAGTGTTGTGAGAGCTATTGGGTATTATTTGGAACATAGTTAAATGTTGTTTGGGGCATTGTGGGCTAATTTTGGGGCTAATTTTGGCATGCATGGTTTTGACACCGTTTGGGCACCATTTTAGCACTGTTTCGGAGCTGATTTTTAGAGTTTTGCCCACTATTTCGGGGCTGATTTTGATAGTTCTATTTACTGTTTTGGGGCTGGAGTTGGAGAGTTTTATTTACTGTTTTGGGGCTGGATTTATAGAGCTTTGTCTATTATTTTGGGGCTGGATTTAGGAGCTTTATTTACTGTTTTAGGTTTCACTTGATTATCAATTAAACGCTTTTAAGACCAACCCACCTACCTTTTTTTTTTCTTCCCTCTTCGGCTTTACTAGTTTTGAAAGTGAGTCAGCCTCCTTTTGTTTTATTTATTTTTATATGGTTAAGTCATAAAGATGAGGATTGATAATTTAATTAATTGGAAGATATAGGAAGATATAGAAAAGTTCTTAAATCACCCTAGGTGAGAGTCCATCCACCTAATCCTCAGCATGGTCTTCATAGATTTTCTTAAATCACCCTAGGTGAGAGTCCATCCACCTAATCCTCAGCATGGTCTTCATAGATTTTAGGAACACAATCTAGGTGAGAGTCCATCCACCTAATCCTCAGCATGGTCTTCCAAGATTTTAGGAGCACACCATAAGTGAGAGTTCATCCACTTAATTCTCAGCATAGGCTTCTAGATTTTAGGAGCACACCCTAGTTGAGAGTCCATCCACCTAATTCTCAGCATAGACTTCCTAGATTTTAGGAGCACACCCTAGGTGAGCGTCCATCCACCTAATTCTCAGCATAGACTTCCTAGATTTTAGGAGCACACCCTAGGTGAGCGTTCATTCACATAATTTTCGAATAAATAACAAAACTTGACACATGACCCTGATTCACAAACTGATCAAGACACTAGACACCAGGATGCACCGAGAAGTAGTTCATGCTTTCTTAATTAAATCAACAATGAAATTCTCGCAATGACTTAACCTATAATGAAACCCAGTGCATTGGGATTTGAGTTTGAATATTACACTCAAATCTTCCTGACAATTGGGGAAATTTCTTAACGCCACATATGGATCATCGGACTATGTTAAGTAACTAGAATAAGTCTAGGGTCTAGGTGGCGAGGACGATGACGACATTGCTTATGTGTGCTTAAACGAGGGATAC